ACTAGTATAGAGAATTCCCTGCTGATGAAACTCCTCTACTAATACAAGTGCCAACCTTCTATGAAACTTATATTCTTGGGCAACTAGGCAGTGCAGTGGTCAGAGGACGGGCCCTGGAGTCAGGAAGACCTGAGTTCAAATCTGGCCTCAGACTTTTACTGACTGTGTGACCCTGGGCAAGTCACTTAACCCCAATTGCCTTCAAAAAGAAAAGAAGCTCATATTCTTAAAGAGTTGCCTACAGCAATGAGAAGTTAAGGGATTTACTGAGTCCCACAGCCAGTATGTGTCAGAGGCAGGACTTAAACCCATGTCTTCCTGAGGCAGAGGCCAGCTGTCTACCCACTATGCCTCTACCAATTTATTTTCTATATGTTTTGACATATTTATTTATTCACACCTTGTCGCTTGATTGACTGTAAAATTCTTGAAGGGAAATGACTGTCTTCCTTTTTATCTTTGTATCCTAGCACCTAGCACAATGCCTGTTATACAGCAGGTGTTTAATAAATGCCTATTATTGTGTGACCATGGTTTATGGGCTCTCACCCAAGAAGCCAAGTTACTTCATAACCAGGGTAAGGCTGTCCCCAAGGGCAATGAGTCATTTGCCTGCTGGCTTCTGGGGCTAGCTGCACTTTTCAACATGGCCAAACAGAGTTGACTTCCCCAACTGAGCCATAATTTTCATTATAGTGTTTCATTCTGACCTCTCTCACATTTACAAGAACACGCCCAGTGAAAAATGTTAGTGTGCCACTCTGCTCCCTCAATGTAATGGGAGACAGTGTAGTTAAGTAGAGATAGCATGTGTCCTTGAGTCCCAGCTTTATCATTTAAACTCCCTGTGTGACATTTGGGCAATCCAGCTCATCTCCACGTACCTCAGTCTCCTTATCTATGAAACGAGAGCTGAACTAGATGGCCTCACAGTCCCAAAGTCTGGTCTGAAAACTGCTTACAGGGCTATTCTATTCGTGACCTTCGACAAGTGTAAGGTTCTTTATCAGTTACTGGAACCATGTGGTTCTGCAACATTGACTCCTAAATTCAGAGTGAAGAGAAATGTGCAGCTACTTTTTCAAAGCCTCTTAAAGTGTGAGTATCACACCATAAGCCCATCCGCCATCTCCCGACGTCTAGGAACACATCCCCCTGCGCATTATCCATCTCAGCCTAGGCTTCTTTTTTTTGGTCATGACTACTGCCCAGAGTGCCTATGCCTTGCCAAGGATCTAATTCAAGAAAAAGACCCCCCTTCCAAAGAAGATTTGTTTATAGAATCCTAGGATCATAGATCTGGAGCTAGAAGGGACCTTAGTGTGATTTAATCCAGCCTTCTGATATTACAGATGAGGAAACTGAGGCCCAGAGAAGTGATTTAGATTTGGGATTCAAGCTGAGGTCTAAGGACCCCAAGTTCAATGCCATCTCCACTGAGCTGCACTGCCTCCCACATTGCATTGAAGGACAGAGGAGTTAACATTTTTCACTGGACATGTCCCTGTAAGTGTGAGGGAGATTTGAATAAATAGGACTACAAAGAAAAGTTACATATGACTGGAGAAACCAACTCTTTTGGTCATGTTGAAAAGTACAGCTACCCGCAGAAGCCAGCAGGCAAATGACTCATTGTCCTTGGGGGCAGCCCCACCCTGGTTATGAGGTAACCTTGTTTCCTAGATGACAGCCCATAAAATTCTGCAGATTGAGTATTCCATTTCACTCTGCTCAGGACCAATCATCTTTTTGTCTCTTCATTTCACAGGTTATGTATACGCTTTTTTCACCAGAGGTCTCAGACACATAGTTGATCTTGAGGTAAATACTCTCAATGGTGCTCTAATCTCCCAGCCTCTCATCCTGGCCCTTAAGAAATTCTAAAACATCTCAGACACCAGTATGCCTTCAGGTGCATAGCTGAGCCCTGAGGCTAGAGGATCTTTCATATTCTTGCTTTACAGAGGTATACTGGGGAGTCTTTGACCCTCTACAGTATGTACTTATATACAGACATACCACACTTTATCGCACTTTGCTGATATTGCATTTTTTTAAATAAAAGGTTTGTGACAACCCTGTGTTGAGCAAGTCTATTGATGTCATTTTTCCAACATCACATGTCCTCATCATGTCTGTGCCATAATTTGATAATTTTCAAGATATTTCAAACTTTTTCATTATTATTATATCTGCTGTGGTGATCTGTGATCAGTGACTGTAATTGTTTTGGGGGACCATGAACCACAACCACATAAGACAAGCACATTTAATTGATAAATACGTGTGTTCTGACCGCTCCACTGACCATTCCCCATCTCTCTCCTTCTCCTCGAGCCTTCCTGTTCTGAGATATAACGATATTGAAATTAGCTATGATGGTCTCTCAGTGTTCAAGTGAAGGGCAAAGTCAATTGATGCAACAAACTTCATTGTTGTCTTATTTTAAGAAATTGCCTTAGCCACCCCAACCTTAGCCATCCACCACCCTGATTGGTCAGAACTATCAATATCGAGGCAAGACCCTCAACTGGCAAAAAGATTACAACTCACTGAAGGCTCAGGTCATGATTAGCATTTTTAGCAATAAAGTATCTAATTAAGGTATATACTTTTTTAGACATAGTACTATTGCACACTTAATAGTTTACAGTATAAACATAACTTTTATATGCACTAGGAAACAAAAAAATTTGTGACTTGCTTTATTGTGATATTTGCTTTATTGTGGTGGTCTGGAACTGAATCCACAGTATCTCCGAGGTATGACTATACCCACCTGTATGTGTCATCCTAGAATTTGCTCTAGCATTTTCTCAGTTCTGTCCAGTCTATTATTTCCATCTTACCTGAGCACTCTCAAAGTATGGTCTCTTCATTTCACAGATGAGATGGTATTTTAATAGCCTGACCAGTTTAGACTAGTACATGGTATCTTTTTCTAAGAAAAATTATATATAATATATATTTTATATATATAATTATATATATGTGTTATATATACTATCTATCATATCACATCATATATCATATCATAAGTGTGAACTTATTCAGATTGAGAATTTAAGGGAAGGTTCAAACGATGAACCCTCTGAAGCAGGAAGAGATTGGAAAACAAGAGCCAAGAGATTTTAAAGGTTATGGGGCACTGGGTTTATTCTGCCTGGGTAAGAGAAGGCTGAGGAATCCCTATACTGTAGGGATTCCTGGGCACTAGAATTATGATGTGTGTATGTTCATGTACATGGTACAGAACACACATACATGTTATATGTTCTCTACAAATAGAGATTCATGCATATTGACCCCAGAGGTCATTTCTAGGTTTCTAATACAGCAAATCCATCACCATTCACACTCATATATTGAAACCTAAAGTGATTCCACAGAAGGTGGCAAATTATTCCCAATCTTCACAAGCAAGAACTAAGGCATGGAAGGGGAAGGGGTTTCTAGGTATTATATCAGGTGTAAAAATAATTGCTGACAGGGTTGAAATACAACCAATGGAACCTACTTGAAAGTTTTCAAAAATGGAATATAGTTTTCTCATCTGTTAAGAATAGCTTAGATGAAGTCATTACTGAAGGCAAGGGGACTTTCTTGACCAAAAACTTTACTCCAAAATAGCCCTTCTAAGCCACAAACCCATGATTAAATGATTCCCTACTGCCTAAATTTCCTCCTGGTTGTAAACTTGTCTCCTTTGGAATCTGCATTACCTAGGCCAGAATTTGTCGTGTATTAAATGATTTGTCATCATTTCCCCCTTCTCATATGCTAATATGAATTCTGGAGACTCCTCTTTAGCTTTAAACTGCCTCTGATAGGACCATAAATTACTGAGTCAAACCCAGGCATTCACCAATTTTTGTAAGACTTCTTACAAAAGATCAGACTTTTCTAAAAAACATTTTAAGTACAAAATTTCAGGAAATAATTAAAATATTAATTTGTATTATTATTATTAGCCATTTCCATTAAAAACGTTTTTTTTAATAAAAAGTATGTTTTTCTTAAAAAAACATACAAATTTCTACATTGTCCAATTTTATGCCACTAAGAAAAATTTACTTGTGACAGCGGAATGGAAAAAGAGACCAAGATTTAAGGCCATTCACTCCAAGACAGTTTACTGCACTAGGAACACACACCCGTGGCAAATTACACATCAGCAGATCGAAACTCGAATAGGAAGAATTTGAGTAAAAATATTGGATTTTTTTTTTTAATCTTCAGTTCGAGCACTATTTCTGTGCGGCTAGGAAATTAGGAGATGGTCTTGATTACTCCTTGGTCCTTTTTCCTCTTTTAGAATATGGCACAGTCTTTGAAAATCTTTTCCAGCTTCTGTCCCAGCATCACCTTGCCACTCACTTTCAGCTTGCCAGCAAAGAAAGCCCTTTGAGGATTGGTTTTCCCCAGAACCAGCTCCATAAAAATATGGTCTGGAATAGTAAACAAGGTGTCAGGTGGGCTCCTTGCTGATCCTGAGTATACTTCTCCAGATCCATTCTTCAAGTCGACAGTCCACTGGACAATGATCTTTCCATCTTTAGTAATATCCAACTGAAATATAGCATTGACCTTCTTGACCAGTTGGCTGCCCACCTCTTTGACCCGACGGCTGATTTCTTCAAATACTAGGTTACTCCGGAGTTCTGTAACTTGAATGGATTTGGGTGCTGAAGGATCCTGAGCTGAATTCAGCTCCACATATTGTCCTGTACCAGAAACACCTTCAGCTGCTTTGATCTTAGGCTGATGGTGGCTTCTCTTTCTTTCTTTCTTCCACATCCTTCTTTGCAGATCCCCCTGAACTTATGGTTTGGTTTCTAGACAGCCTTGATTAAGGTAGTACTGCCAGGCCCCATTGTGACATCAGAAATCACTCATATACAGGTAATTTGGGTCCCTGTGTGCTATAATCCTATTGGCTAGATAAATGTTTTTTAAATGCCATAGGGATGCAAATATCTAAGTTAATTGTGAGGCAAATTCATGACCTAGACTCTTTAGGACTGCCTGGTATCATTGAAGCCACTAGATCATCACTTACATCCTGTCTCAGCCCCTTATGCTTGGTATATGGTATGCTTTATAGAATTTTCTTTTATTGTTATTATTAGTAGTAATAATAACTGACATTTAACTAGCACTCTGAATTTTGTGAAACCCTTTATGTACACTGTAATCTTCATTCAATTCTCACAACAACCCTGTGAAGTAGGTACAAGTATTATCTCCATTTTACAAATGAGGAAACTGAGGCTCAGAGAAAGGTTGAGTGACTTGCCCATGGTCACACCACAGGTAAATTTCAGAAATGGGATTAGAACCTAGGTGTTACTGACTCCAAGTCAATACTCTATACACAATGCTACCCTGTGTATAAATAATTCTACCCTTGGCAATGGCCGTCTCTCTGAGACTCATGGAAAGAGTACTTATGCTAAAAAAAAATATCAATTTGTCATGAAAACTCATTTCCCCTATTTCACACCTCAGATTTTTTCCTTATCTTCACCTGTTATTCATTTTTTCCTTTCTCTAAGAATGGGCCTTCTCCTTACAAGGCTAACCTCTTATTTTCATGCTTTTGATTCTATCTCTTCATCTTCCCTGGGAGGTCTGTTGGCTGTGTCTCTCTCTGTGTTTCTCTCTCTGTCTCTGTCTCTGTCTCTCTCTGTCTCTCTCTGTCTCTGTCTCTGTCTCTGTCTGTCTCTCTCTCTCTCTCTCTCTCTCTCTCTCTCTCTCTCTCTCTCTCACACACACACACACACACACACACACACACACACACACACACACACACCCTAATTAGTTTTTCTACTTCTAATTTCTCCCCTTCTCATTCTCTCCTTTACATAACTACTTTTCAACTCTCTCTCCAAAAGGAGCTTTATTTTCTATAAAGGTTACCGCCACCACTGCCAGTAATAAGGTTTCTTAGATGGCAAGTATGAAGAAATAACTAATTATTCTTGATAATTAGCTGCTGAGGTCAGTTTAAATAGGAAGCTATCAACTAATCCTCTCTTCCTTGAGAGGGTAGGCAGCCTCTTCAGCAGTGGCCTTGTGGTACACTGGGGTAGAGACTGTCTCCTCCATATATGGTGATGTACACTACCTGCCTCACCATAGAACTATGATGCCTTCCATGCTGCTTACCCTAGGTAAGGTTTGAGGCATTTTTCTCAAATACAAAAATTCCTAGTTATAGATCTACTGACTTTCATTGGTAGGAGAAGTTTCTACACCAGACATTCCCTATGCTTTGTCATCAAATGTCCACCCTGCTCCCCTTCAAAAAAAAAGAAAAAAAATTAAGCCTCTGCAGGAATTTTACAGATGTCCAATGAAACTTTGGTGCATATTTAAATAGGTAAGTGAGGTGGCTTCCTGCAATATCTTACATTTGAACAAAATTAAGGAGCACATAAATCAAGTTCTACCTTTGTTGTGTGCCACTTTTTATCAGCTGTGTTAACCCAGAAGAACTAAAATACAGAGGTCAGCAATGCTACTATAAATGGGGTCAGTATTAACAAACAATATGGAAAAAGTATACCTCTCCTAAATCCTGTGTCCTATCTTAGGGGTTTGACAGCTGCCAGAGAACCAAGAATAAGCGAATGAATGAACAAAGATAAATGAATGAATGAATGAATGAATGAATGAATGAATGAATGAATGAATGAATGAACAAGCATTTTGACATGCTCATTATGTGGGGGACACTGTGCAAGATGCTCTAAGAGAACCTGTGGAGACGGATTCTGAAAGCTACTAGCCACCTTGCCACATCCTTAGTACCAAGTGGATTTGGACTTTATTACAGACGTGCTGCCATCCTGGCATCATTCCTGCAGATTCTGTTATCTGATTTTTTTTGCCTTAAACTGCCCTCTGACTCATGGAGGGTAAAGTATTCTTCAGAAGAGATGGAATGTCTTTGTTGGTTACTGGTACAAAGATTCTGACCACGTATCACAATTGGCAGTCCAGTTCTGGAAGGGCTAACAGAAGAAACTACAAATTGTAACCACATAACCCTCCTCCCTACCTCAAACCCCTCACCCTCCAACACTCACACAAGCAAAGAGGCAGGTAAAATGGACAAACTGAGACATGAACCGTTCCCTGAAGATCTACCATCTGTCTCCCATCAGGAGAAGGATCAGAACTCAACATGCACAAGGCCCATTTGCCTTGTAGTGAACTGTTGTGAGCCTCAAATAACAGAATGGATATAAAGAATTTTGCAAACCTTAAAGCACTATATAGATGCTTATTATCATTATTGTTATTATTAGTAGTTGTTTATGGTCACCATATCTCTAGTCAGATGATTACTTCATTCCCTGAGCCTTCTAATAAACTCCTGCTGAGCTCAAGCAAGGTTTATAGAGCAATACAAGTGTGTGCTGGTGAAGTCTCGGGGGGGAGAGGGGGGCAGTGTATACACGTACACTTTTCTCAGCATTGTTAGCAGTTTCTTAAGTCTAGAAAAGCAACAAAACAATAGATCAAGGCTTGATTTGTAACATTGAGGATTTCTAAGCTGAGCATTTTGCTCACCCTGAAAAATTAACAATCAGCTCATGAGCCAGTTAGAGCTGGCTCCAACGTACCTCTGTTCATTTGAAGGCAGCTAGGTGGTATAACGGATAGAGTGCTGGGCCTGGCATCAGGAAGACCTGTGTTCAAATTTGGCCTCAGACATTTACTAGACCCTGGACGAGTCACTTAACTTCTGCCTCAGTTTCCTCAAATGTAAAATTGGAATAATAACAGCACCTACTTCCCAGAGTTGTTTTGAAGAACAAACGATATAGTATTTGTAAAGCACTTAGCACAGTGACTAGAATATAGTAGGTACTATTTAATGCTTATTCGTTCTCTCCCTCTTTACAACAAGAGGGTCAGTTCAGCATTGGGAAGCTCACCATCATCAGTGACAATGATTATATCTTCTTTGCTGCCTAACAGATGAACATCAAAATGAGCAGATGCCTGTTTCTTTCTGTTAGCAGAAGTATCAATGAGCCAGGGCACACATGCTACACAACAAGCTTCAGTAGGAATACAGGAACAAGGAAGGTGCCAAGGGAAATGACAGACAAACATCTGTTAAACATCTACCATCTACCTATCTAGGAAGACATTATGCTAAAAAATAGCAAAAACCAAGTTCAAATAAAACATAGATGCTGTACTCTTAATTTTATAACCTAGTAGAGAGGAAGTGATATTACACAACTGTGTATTACAAAATAGCACATGCTAGTACATATTATAGAGGCACGCAATGTGCTATGAAATCAGCAGAGAAAGTTGTAGGAGGAAAGGTTGCTACTCACTTGTGGGATTGGAAAAGACTTCCTTGAAGAAGCTGACACTTAACATTGAGCTTTCAAGAATGGGTAAGAATTCAACAGGCCTAGAGGGGCAAAGCAAACATTAGGAGCAAAGGAGATGGAAAAGGAAAAAGGGTAAAAATAGAAAATGGTAACCTCAGGTCTTAGCTATAGCATAGATGACATCAAAGAGAGCAGTATGAGACAAAGTTGCAAAGTTAAGTTGGCATGAGTTTTAGAGGACTAGAAGTCAAATAAAAGGCATTTGGATTTTATGTGGAGGTGATAGAGAGCCACAGGAGGGATTTAAGTAGAGAAACAATGTTTCCCAAAGTAGAGTGCCAGGAAGAGCTGGATCTGTGTCATTAAGACCTGGATTAGAAATACAACTCTGCCATTTGCTATCTGTGTGACTTTGGTTGAATCATGGAATCCTTCCCAACCTCAGTTTCTGCTTCTTGTAAAAATGAAAGCATTGGACTAAAATGTCCTATGAGGTCCTTTCCAGGCCTGAGATCTTTGCGTAAGCATGGCATCGAGAAGTGGGATGAAAGAGTTTGGAAGGGAGAGAGAGCAGAGGTAGTAGGGTATTCCTTGAGTATTCCTTCATCTTTCTGGATCTCAATTTGCTCATCTAAAGATGATAGAGTTGAACCAGATCAGGAATTCTTAGCTTTTTGTGTCTTTCATGGGCAACTTGGGCAGTCTGATAAAGCTTGTGGACCCCTTTTCAGAATAATACCTTTAAATGCATAAAGATACACAAGATTATAAAGGAAATCAATTATGTTGAAATAAATATGTTATTTTTTCCATCCAAGTTCATAGACCCCTTGAAGTCTACCTATGGAGCAACTGGGAGCTGGTGCACTCCAGGTTAAAAACCTTTAACTTTGAGGTCTCATAACTCTAAATCACATGATCCAATGGTGGTTTGGCTTTTCAAACTCGTGACATTATGTCTTCAGCACCATCTTCTTTGTCTTTATTTCTAGAACCACCCCAAAGCTATCATTCTAAATAACTTTATCTTTCTTACTTATGAAGCTGTCAAGTGAGACACAATTTAATAAGGATATGTTCAGTGCAGTCTGTTGCAAAGCTCAATACTAGAGATGCAAAGACAAAGATGAAAAACAGTTCCTGCCCTCTAGGAGTTTATAACCTACTTATTTAAATAAATAACTAAAATATAATATGATCTGAGAAAAATGAAAGCACAAAAAGCTCAAGAGATCAGGGCAGACCAGACTTCCCTTGGGAGTAAGTGAACTCTGAGTTGAGCCTTTGAGGTAAACAAAGGATTTCAAGAGGCAGGTAAGGAGAGGGTATTCTAGACATTCAGACCAGTCTGAGCAAAGTCATTAAGGCAAAAGATAGAATGCTGAATTTAAGGAGCATCAAGTTAACCAGCTGGGTTAGAAAATAGCTTGGGTGAATAGGAATAATATGAAATACATGAACAATATTTCATAATATTATCTATTTCATAATGTATTATTAATTATAACATAGGTCATAATGTATTATAATAGAATAATTATCAATAATATCTATGTATTATTCATGATATATTCTGAATATCATTCATGTTTATAATATTATATGAATAAGATGACAATATGAATAGTAGGGTGGAGACAAATTGTGAAAGGCTTTAAATGCCAAACCAAGCAGTTTGTATTTTGTCCCAGAGGTAATAGGATGTGATGACCATTCTTGAGCAGGGGA